TAAGGCCAGGAGCCCCTAGTAGCGTCCTTGCTCCTAGTAGCGATGCCCTTTGTTCCTAGTAGCTTCTTGCTGCTGGTAGTAAGGCCAGGAGCCCCTAGTGGCTTCTTGTTCCTAGTAGCGTCAACTCGTCATATCATCAGTACCTTATGTTCATGACTTTATCATGTCGACTCAGTAGCTTGTCCTCTAATGTCAGGAGGAGAAACAAGCTGAACCCTGACATTGGAGGACAAGCTGCAGATACATGTCAAATGAGATGTGAAACAAGCAGTGCCCAGAGAAGAAGCATTGCATGCGATGTTGTTTACTGAGGATGTCTGTAATCAATGGCCTTGGCAAAGCAAGCAGCTCGATTCGAATGGGCTATGGCCTCGGAGCAGCATAGTTCTTCTGCTTCACCGGTCAATTGTTGCTCATGCCATTCCCAAAGCCTTGTATTTTATCATGCGCTACTGGACATGGCCGTTCATTTCGCCGGGCCCCCTTGCTTTCTCCGAAGGTTCCACCAAATCCTCCAGCCACCTGACTGCCAGAGCTGTCGAGCAATCCCAACAAATGCAACACTGAGCAACACTGGGTCCCGGTGCTTTCTCAGCAACACTGAGGCCACCACTTAGAGTAGTAGTTTGCAGCAAGCCAAAAGTCACCCTGCCTCATACAGCTTTGATAATGCCTCACTATGCTTCCGAGGTGTCACAGGGCCTGAAGGCTTCCGTCCCAAGCTGCTTCCATGGCAAACCAGCTGGAGATGGATCGCTCCTGTGTCACTACAAACAAGTACAAAGAGAGAAACTTTGCTGCAACTCCAAAAGAACATGCAGTTCATCTTTCCGACTCGACAGAATCAAAGCAAAGGCCATCGAATCTAGATTGGTTCTTCCAAATCTGTCTCCTAAGGTTTCTTGCCGGAAAATCAGCGACGCAGAGAGGTTGATGCCCTCGAGCCTAGGTCAGTCAGTCAGGCTTAAGGGGGTCTTGCCAGCCAATCCACAAAGCAGGAGCTAACAGCCCAGATTCCGACCGCTTGCAAGAGTTGGAAAATGCTACACCTCAAATGCGGGAATTGGCCAGAAACCCGCCGATCAATCTCACAAACATCACAAACCTGCCAACAAAATTCGGAGATGGGTGACATGTCGCAGCATACAGCCAGCCCCATCCAATGTTAAATTCAAATTCATTGCTATCTGGGTGTCTCACAGAATCAGTGGTTCAAACAAACATAAAACGTCTCGTCTCACGAGTGAAAATCAGAATGGCGCCGCCAACCACAAAGCCCTGTAACCTGTAACAAACAGAGGCTTAGGATGGCTTCGGTACTCTCCTTTATACCCTTGTGGCGGTCATCCACTCACTGCAGAGTGCACCACTGTGCATATCCGTAAATGCCGAGAAGCTCCAGCAATGGCAAGAGCTTCTCTTGCAGCTCTGACCACTGCGGCTGTGCCTTCGCATACCCAAACGATTCAAAACGTGATAACCGATACCTGTGAGAACAAAGAGACATTGGCATGCTTCATCGCGGGCTCCACTCACCTCCTACAAGACAGTCATACCATAATATGTTACATTGGGCCGCCGTGGTCTATTAAATGTGCTGCCTTCTCAGAAAGAGGTCGCAAATTCTTTGGGTTTCTTGGACAGTTTGGCCTGGCAACTGCGAAGCTTCTCATATCATCTTATAATATATCCACCTTTTCCAAGTGCCTCCACACTGGCGCAGGTTTGAGAGCCCAGGCCTTAAGATGAGGACAATCAACCCATGGCATTCTGGTGTTGTGCATCAATCGCAGCACTGCATGTATCACTACCTGCCTGTAGATGTGTTGTCAGTTGGAGCCTGAACTCAAAAAAGGCCAAGTTCTCTAAGCCGCTCGCAGACCGCAAAAACTGCTCTTGGAGGTACACCTTGGGTAGCAAACACCGCGAGCCTAGTACACTTCCAGCTCAGCAGCTTCCAGTGTGTTTAGTGTTGAAACTAGCAACTAGGACTACAGTTGACTACAGGTCATGTGGCTGTGTTTTGTGCAGTGCATGCACAGGAAGCGCTGACTCAGAGACGGGCCTGTACAATTTGTGGCATGCAGTTGTAAGAGGTTGGAGTAGAATCTCAGGCCTCAAAGCTTCTAAAAGGAATGGCCTCCAACCTACTAGCGATGGCCTCCACCTAAGTACTGTAGGGTCGCCACGTCGGTCGCAGTCGCCAAAGCTTCGTGTAAAAACTCCAAAGCACAGAGTCCAGGAACCGTGCTGCAGGGTGGCTGGGTAAAAAGTTGCAACTCCTGAGGAAACTCGAACACAATGGCAGGACAAGTTACCCGTTTCGCCTCCACGAGTTCAGTCTGTTTTCCTGTTGTCGTGCTCCTCTCCAAAGGGCTGTAGCAGAATCTCAGATTCACACCTCGGAGCCAGGGCTAGCTACGCCTATTTGACGGAACCAAACAATGAGAAGTTGAACTCTTAATTCTGTATATATATATATATAGATAGATAGATATCCGATACATGTTCAAAGGGGGTATACTTTACTATGTTGTGGGTTTTCACCATTCATGATTCATGTCCACAAACGTGTTTTCAACTGTTCTGGAATCCAGGGTCACTTTCTGAATGGCTAGGGTCCCTGCACTGCTCTCTTAGCTCTTGCCGACCTTGGGTGCCGTCTGGCACGGATTCAATTTGTCAATGTATTGATCAAGTGACTCCGCAAAGCAAAAATACATATGAATTGAGCCGAAGCCAACTCCCCAAACCCGTCCCGAGACTTTCAGGTCCTCCAAGTTTTTGGGTTTGTGGCAAGTCTGGAACCAGAAGTACTCCCAGGTCCCCAGTGGCATCTATAAGGACCTCCGAATTTCCATGGGTCCATCGGCCACAAATGTCCAATGCCAGGGCTGCTTAACCTGCAGCACTTTCTTGGCACATTTTGGCAGCACGTTGTACTCATGCTCTCCAAGTGTGAGGCATAACGCTGGAGTTACAAGCGCCACCTTGTCCATGACGTGCCCCTGCAGAAGCTGGAAAATATGTACATATATCATATACCCACATATACTATTGTATAATATTGTATGTGTACATATATATATATATATAATATATATATATATGTTATACATGGTATTAATTATATGGCTAAGTGAAGCCACAGCTACAAGCTTGTAGAAGAATGAGCGGGGAGGGGAGCACAAATCTTCTACATGCAAGGTGTTGGCGCGGATATGGGGCAGACTGATTAGCTCACAAAAAACGTTGTAGATCAAATTGCAAAGAGAGAAGGGATGGGAGTAAGAGCTGCATTTACATCACTCCACTCAGACGAAGTGCAGCATTATGCTTTTGGCCATCAAAATGCTTCGATTGTCTTCAGTTTATGGTTTATGATTCATGATGGTTTATGCCTATGCTGGGTGCATTTCTTACCTCCAAGTGCTCGTTGCCAGGCGCATGCAGCTTCATCCAAGTCCTGCGTGCAGGTTGCTTAGCCAGCTGCAGGGTCATTAAAATGGCAGTATGGACATTACTTCTGACTGGCCACGACAGGCTGTCATGCTCCTCTCACGGATTGACTTGCAACGTTGACGTCGACACAAGCAACCCGTCCACTCATTCCCACATGATTTCATCCCTTGTGTGTACACGAATCGACATGAAGCTTTTGTCTTCGGGAAATGGCTGTGGGTCAAAACCGGGATACCTTGGTTGACCCCCAAATGAACAGACGAGACTTCGGAGGTCAAGCTACACTGTGTTGGGGCTCCAGGTGACCCATCCCGGATCCAAAGGCGGGCCTACCAGCCAAAAATGACCGAGTCACTTCGATTGCCAAACTAGTCTCACTGTCCCGTTGAACCAACATCCAACATGAACCAAACATCCGTCTATCCGTTCAACACCTTTTTCTTCGACAAAGGATCCAACGAACGGAGCCTTCATCCAACACGTTTCACAGCCATCATCCAGTTTCGACTCCTCCGGGGCATTCTGCTTTGACTCCTCGAGGTTGTTCCTCTGAAGAGGCGGGACATCCAGAGATTGACGGAACCAAAAAGAAGTGAATGGTTCAACCTCCTATAAAAGAACCAAGGAGCATGTTTGGTGCTATGCTGAATAGAAAACGACAGTATCAAAAATGTTGGCTGTCTAAGTCTACTCAGGATACTACGGGGGCTGGTTGGTTTCTTGTGGGGAGGGTCATCCGCACTAAAGCTGACTCGAGTTCTCTTAGTGGGTCATCTGTCTTAACATGTCTTAGTCTTAATCCAACGACAAAACGTACACTTCCTCCGGTGTCGCGATGGCAAGCGCGTCCGTCGACTCGGAGTTCCTTGTGAAGCGTGCAAAGTCACATTGGCCCACATGCAGCAAACGTACCTTGGGCCGGTGGCCGGATCACCCACAAGATAAGAAATGCCAACAACTTCGTTTCTGCCATGGAGGGCTTGGCCAGTTGGCCAGGCCTAACAGTTCCCAGCAACCCATCATCCATATGAGCCAGATCGAGCTGTCGTTCTTGCCATCCCATACCCAAAGATGGATGCCATTGGTGTTGCTGTCACCAATCATGAGTTTGAGGATCGCTTTTCATGCTGACTGGATCACAGGAAACATGCAAAAATATATGAAAACAACATTGAGCAGCAAGCCTTTTTTGTGTCAGTGGCGCAATTAAGTGGCCAGGTATGTACTGCAGGTTTGACTCATTCTAGCATCCTTGGTCCCCTGACTCCTGATGTTCCCTGAGCTCCCCTGAGGATATCTTGTGAGGTTTTTTCTGAGGTGCCCTGCCGCCTTGGCAATCAAGTGCCACTCTCCCGAGATCGCCTGGACCGCCGCACCCACCTCGGGACTGGACCGTCGACTCCACGGTGACGGTCCCGGTGAAGCGAAAGGCGACCGCCCCGGGGACCACGGCCGTACGGTGGAGCTCGGCGGGCGTCATGCGTTGGGACTGGGCAAAGAACACCGGATCCCAGACACCTGGAAAAGGTGAAGCATGGTGAAGCCATTGAAAGACGTCATGTTTCTGTTTTTTCCTTTTTCTGGTTCCGTTCCTGTATGTTTTGCCATTTTGGAGCGGCTACGCTTGAAGTGCTTACCGATAGAGCTTTGGTGATAGTGTTCATGCGGTTAGTTCAGCTGAGGACGCTGCCGGAATTGTCAACCGCCTGAGCCGAATGGAAGCTTGGCATTCAGCAAGCGCTGATGCCACTTTGCGAAGTGCTGCAAATACATTTCAGCCATTTGTATAGGTCCTAGATGGTCCTAGATAAGTGGGCTGCATGAGCTCTGGTCCTTTTGGCTGGATTTGTGCAACGTGTGGACGTTCTGATGTTCAAATGTAACGACAGAATGGCCGATCCATCATGAATACCCATGTGTGCAAGCAGTACCACAGCCTCCTTTGCTGCCACCAGGTCCTAATCAAGAAAGACTGGACATTCGCAAATGACACTTGAAGGTCCTATGGAACCAGCTACTTCAACACCAACACAAGCTCTGAAAGTAGTGAAATGTAGTGAGCCTGCTCAAACACTTGGAACTTAGAACCAGAAAAGGCTCAGCCACGCCGTTGTCTTCATGCAGTTCTTTTTGGACGCAATCCATGCCTTCACTAGTGGCGGCCAGGGACCAAGAGTCAGTCGAACAAATGATGTGCAAGCCCACGTTTGGTCCTTTAAGAACCGCCGGGACTCGTCTTTGGAGAAGACCTTCGTCTCCGCGGCACCTGAGAGTCTTGTCTGAAGCGCAGTCTGCGGTCAAGTTGATCATCAAGCAAGTCACTGAGAGTCTTGCTGAAACGACATCGGAAGTGCAAACGACCCGAGTTTGAAAGGCCCTCTGAGAGCACTGAGATGTTGAGCCTCAAACACAAAGCTAAGTGTCAGCTGGGAAAACAATCAAACATTTCGGAGTTTGGACCTATAACATATGTTGGAGATCTTAAAAGGTCGTAGAGAAACTTGATGTCAGGTGTTGCCCATCTGAGCACTGAACAAATGCGACGCAGGAGAATGGCTCCTAGCTCAACCACGCACCACACTGACCACGTAGGAAGACCAGTGACCCAGTGCTGAAAGCTCAGTTTCTCTCAGAATGGCACCGGCCTCCAGGATGGAAAGAATGGGTTTTGGCCCCAAAGAAGCAACCTCGGACAGTCAATGCCACAAGTAGGATCAAGGGGGTCTTAGCTTCAGTCCTCATGTTTCTTTTGTGGGTGCAATTGGGTCATGAAGTTCTGCAGACCAAAGCATGCATTCATATAATTACTTCTGTGTCGAAATGAAGATGCCCAAGAACATCCAAGTCGAAATCTTCGCTGTAAGTGCCCAAGAACCCTTGAAACAGCTCTCCCAAAAGACTCTGAGTTCACCATGTGGGACTCGGTGGGACTCTTTGGGGTGAACTGGGCGCCGCACTGACGGCCTCGGAGGCTCGACAGATTGGCTTGGAAATACGCCTCGAGGAAAAGGCCCTCGAGGCCGTCAGAAAAGGTGTCTAAAGCTTCCTTTATCATTAGCGAATGCCCCGAAAAGGGGAGTGTTGAGAATCCAGAAGTCCAAACGAGAATAGGCATCCACTTTGTTGGTAGATCTCGGCGAGAAGTGAGAAGCACGCTGGCAGCTGGCTGCAGCTTCTCCGGATTAAAATTGGAGGATGCCAAACAATTCGTTTCTGAGCTGCAAGTGACACATATATATATACCTAGCATATCCGTTTGCATCTTCTCACCGTCTCGAGCCTCGGTCAAGGAACCGGGACCAAGTTGAATCTCCTGCAAAGTGAAGAAACTGTGTTTTGATGTATAAACTATAAATTGTTGTCTCTGAACACGAAAATTTGTTTGTTATGGCCGGCCTGTTCCTTGTGGCACACTTTTCCAAACTTTAAGAAATGCTGAAGCATCGCGATTCATTGCGCCTCTCTTCGAATCAAGTCGTCACCAGATCGTTCCAAGATCTCGTGTGGTCTAGATGTGACACCTCGGGTCACTAAGGTCACTAGCAGCTAGCTGTAGCGGCTCAGAAGCGAAGGTGGAGAGGGTCACTAAGTCAAGTTCACTTGGAGGATAGTGCAGGCTTTGAACTGGCTGACAGTCGCCAGTCACAATACTGCTTCGAATGAAAGCAGAACTTCTGTTTGACGGTGCATGAAATCTTCTGCTTTCCCAAGTGTGCCCTAAGAAACCGCTCGGGCTTCGCCATTAAAAGTGAAGCTCATAAGGAAATAGCGGCGAAAAGCAGATTCCGTCTCGCAGTCTTTGAAGCGAAGCCAGGAAAGGTAATTACATGTACGATCATGTACGTACACATGATGTACACATGCCTATCATGTCTTCATTGGCTAGCTAGAGGTCACAGTGTCTTCATTGGCTGAGGTCCAGTCTAAAGGTCACAGTGTCAGGGCGAGCATCAGCATTGTGATCTCCTTGCTCCTGAAACCGTGTCCGTGATCCCCGCCCCAGGAACTTCGGCCAGTGACCTTGAAGGAGATCTCCACCGGTTCTGCAGCCCCTCGTTCCACATGAAGTCGGTACAAATGCTCCTCTGTCGGACTTTCCGTTTCAAAAGAATCATACAGCTTCAATAGGGAAACAAACCCGCGTACAGAGAGGAACATACAGCTTCCATGCCAGTCGACATGCCAATCGAACCTGTGTCACCATACCCGCGTAGAAGTCTTTGACGCGTCGGTTCCTTGGAATCACCTCACAGTTCGCTGAGCGGGACGAGCTCTTCTCGGTATGGGCGAGAAGACGAGACTAGCTCCAAGGCATTTGGAGTAAGGTCAGAGCTTTGTGTACACCATAGAAGAAGTGCTCCAACCTGGGGCTTGCTAACTTGCAACATTTTGCGGCAGCTTGTGTTCAGGTTCATGGATGTTCATAAGAGCGGTGGTCACAGCTGAGATTGCCGACTCCATTTGCAGAGTCACCTCCACATTCTTCCCAGGAGGCCTCACAGAACTCAAATGAAATTTCAATAACAAAACACTGACTGACACGGTGAGAAACTGCTTGGATTCCCGACCTTTGCATCTCACTGATGCGTTTCAGCACCTGCCAGGAAGTTTGAACATCTCATATATAACATCTCCAATGGAAGTGCTTGGCTTGCTCTTCTTTCCTCTCTTCACTTATCTTCATCTTCAATTGATTTGCAGTGCATCTTGAAATTGAATATACGACTCATGTAAACAAGCATGTTTCATATCAAGAAAATAAAATAGAGTGCTGAAGTGAAAGCAGAGTCTGCGGTGTCTGCCTCTGTGAGGTCAACATGTTGGGATTTTTGGGCCTCACCGACGAGCACGAAAACCCAGCCACCAAGCGGCCGCCCAGTGCAGTGGCCGCCCAGCTCTGCCTCCAACCTACTAGCGATGGC